CCGATGCCAGTGAGAGATTGGTTCTCTGCTGAGCAATTAAAGTCAGACTTTGACAATCACGTCAGAGTCACCAATTTGTAGCGGATTGCTACCTTAGTAAAGCCTGACCGACTCAGAAATCTCTATGGCAGATTGTCAAACATCTAGCTAGACTCCCAGAGCCAGCTAAGCTATAGCCCAGCTATAAAGGAAACAGACGTGTAGCACGGAGCACGTTCATTCAGTGGGTATATCGCGGATAAAGTGTACACGCAGGGAGCTACTCATGATCAGAATGGGGGATTAGGTTAAACAGAGGTTAATGATTGGTCACTCTTTGTACGGTCGCACCTCCCAATCCTGGCGTACAGGCATGGGAGACGTGTCCCACTAACTTAGGTTACTTAAATAGGGGGAAATGAACAAAACACAGGAAAAGCTAAATAAATGTAATCATTAAATAAAAAAGTTAATGTTTATATATGATTTTAGGTGAAATTTTATTAAAGAAAAAAATTCTGAATGTTATTACATATTATATTCATTTTAATTCATTAACGCAGTCAGCATTATGGAACATGGACAATTGAAGGCTAATCTGATATATATATATATTGATTGAATTTTATACGTATATTGAGGGAGATATTCGTTTTTCATTTTATGGCACAAAGCTTCCGGAGAATGGACTCCGAGGGTCATGCCTGTAGGAGAGTACTTTCGCACTATTTTCATAAAAATAATATTTATTTATTTCAAATGGCAGGCGCTTTGATAGTCTATCATTAGCCCTTTAGCTGACTTCGGGCTTCACAGAGGGTAGCTGACTTCGGGCTTCACAGAGGGGAGGAACATCAAAGTTAGACAAATTCGAGAGGGCGAACAGAAGAGCGATTCGCAGATGTAAAAGAGACAGTCAGACACAAAGGCAAAGAATATGTAAGACGGTTACTGTGGAAGTGGTGGAATATGACATACAGTGGGTTCATGGTAGTTTGAAGTCAGAAGTCAACTACCGGTTTATGGACTTTTTGCCGAATGAGTATACGTTGCCCAGGGTGCACCACGTGGAGAGAATGGCATACAACAAACCTAATAACTAAGTCCTAATTGTGAAATCTAATTCGATTATTTGATGTGGTATAGTTGTTACAGTTTTCAATACTTTTCCATAACTTCACAATTGGTTTTAACCATGACTACACATTATCGATAGCTTTCTTAAAGTATATATTTGGAATGATTTCGAACAAGCGTTATTAAAAAGTCAGTGAATGTAGAACACAAGAGCAGTAAGATTCCTTTGAATACTGGTCCATTTTAATGGGACAATTTAAGTGTTCTGTATGATTTATCAATATCAAATTGTAAGATATTTGTTTATTCATCTCGACAACATATATCTGCTAATCAAGCTGCTCAACATCATGCAGGGCCATTTTGCTTGTTGACTTCTTGAAAGGAAAAGCAAATTGACAAGGAGCGACTGACTACCATAATCAAAGGGTAGATTAATGAGCATTGCAGCTCGTGAGCAGCAATTTGCCCAGTAATCTAAGGGACGAATCAGGAAATCTGAATTTGGGATTGTGAAGCTTTAATTGGTCAAAACTGTACAACTCAACTTTGATCCTCTGATTGTTGGTGAGTTAATGGATATATAGTTAACCAATGATGATTGCAGAAATGAAAAAGTACTTCAATCTGGGCAGCAGTGATTTTTGCTTCAACGGCATCAACAGTTTTCCCATTTACGGAATGCATGCCGCATAGCCCAGTTTCCAGATAGAGTTGCGGGAGAACAAACCAAAAATCTGACTCAAAACCAGCTTTCATTGTGACCTAGAAAAATTAAAAAATGACAAATAGGATAACCAAAAGGAACTCACTGCATTCCGAAATAACGAAAGATAAGTAGGTCAGGGGTAAATATTCATTAAGATATTCTTCTAGACTTAGTAAAATATATCACCCATAACACTGGTAATCGTCCATAGCTGTTACAACTCGCACTACCGTATCTCAAGCCTTACGTGTATATGCATAAGGGTGTCTGCCATATTAATGACCGAATTGAGAATCATCTCAATTCATTTATATTGAAAGTCCTAAGGAGGGAACAAACTCCCAACAAAAGTATTAGCCTAACTGATCCATCGCGGTTGAAATGCACATTGTGAAAATCGAATTCCAGGCGCGTACTCTTCAGTTTAGGTTTAGGTCATGAACAATTGGAAACCTTGAATTTATGGATCTTTTATGCCTATCAAACTTCACTGCTAAAGCAGCATATAACCGCCTGTCCAACTTTAACCACTTAAAGGATGTATTTATAAAAGGTCTATAATAATAATCGTTCATTAATAAAAAATATTTGTTTCTGTATTAGGTTTTAACAATGAAATATCTCAATTTCAGTGACTTTTATTCCATTGTTGTTGAGAAAGCTCCAAAAGAGCAGTTAAAAGGAATGGTGGATATACTGATTTCTTCTTAAAAGGGGCAAAAGAGATGCAACAGGTGGCCAATAAGGAGGGAAAGCTTATTAAACCAAGTCATAGGACACTTTCAGTTGCTACAAGAATGGAAGAATTCGCGGTAGATATCTATGAATTTCCTAATCTTTACTAGTCGATGAATGCTACCTAAATAAATAGCCTGTGCCAGCAAAATTAATATTGACGAAATTTTGCGCTATGTACCACTTACGGGGTAGAGATTAAATTCAGTAATCATACAAAATTTTCCATTCTTTGTGCACAATTTACTCCATTTTCAATTTGTTCATATCTCCTAAACCAAAGCATCCCCACTATGATTTACGATTCTGTTAGTTAATGCATTCCTTTGCAAGGCACCTTTTCCAGGGCGAAACCAAATATTTAGTACCTTATTGGCAAGAACTATATGAATAGGAGCTTTGAGTGATCCTCAAATTTATGAAGGAGGATTAGAAATACGCTTGGTCATGGATCACATTATTCGATCATCATAGTCACCTTCGGTCAGGAATAGACTGCGAAATTGGATAAGGAAGTTTAGTTCAATTCTACCTATCTAAAATTAACAATTTGATTTCGTTTGCTTTCCTAAAATTAGATAACCCACACTGCATGATTTTAGCCATGAAACATTTTACTAAATAATCGGTGAATATTTAAAGTACAGAACGTGACTTTGCAATTGAAAAGGAATTGAGACCGACTGAAGGAGAGCAAAAGACAAAGAAGACATGAGCTTGCAAAATTGATGTAAATGGAGTCATCAGAGCCAGTAGTAAGATTGGAGCTGACTCTGAGAGCCCGCTCGAGAGGAAGTGAAGATAGAGCGGGAGAAAAGGGGCGCACAGTCTTACAATAAAAAATACCCGAATACATCCTTCACAGCATTTTCAAACACAACAACATTATGAATCAAATAAAATAACACATTTCAAGCAGTATCTTCCGTATTTTTTTCCTTTCGTTGGAGGTTCCAATTTCCACTCTTTGTGAAATAAATAATCTTGGCGTTAAAGGCTGTTAAGCTTCAAAGTAAAGTCGCTAGCAGTAATTTCACAGATTGGGTTCGCAATAAAATTGAAAGTCATAACTGGGTAATATGCAATAGCATTCGTCTAATTCAGTGAATATTCTTGCCGAGTAATGCTATTTTATGTAAAATGCATTGGATTATGTCCCAAATCGAGTGCTTCAATTACTATAAACAAATAATAATTTTATACCTGGACCGAGCTAATGATGCTGAAATTGACTGTCTTAAAGGATTTCAATGAAACCAACAGATTGAAACAATGAGTCGATGAATTAATGAAATTCACTACCACCTACCGATGGTACCTTGGGTGATGAATCTCTCGTAACGTTTTCGAATCTTCCATTTCTGACAGATAAAATATCTGGCAATTAGCTTCTGATTGAACACGTGGGACCGTGTCAAACAAAAATCACGAGTTCAATGACCATAAATGCTTATAAACGGTAGGAAAACCAATTACACTGTTTAATTCTGGTGAACAGGAGAGGTGTTAGAATATGAGTTTCCCGTAAGGTTTATTCCAGGATACTCTCCTCATGGACTCGGGAAGTTTTACCTTCGAGACAAAGCTATTCCAACTCCCATTTGAGGGGGCATAAACCCCTAACCATCTTCGAATAGGGATTAAAATTTTAAATTCAAATAAAGTAAAGGCATTTTCAAACTAATCTTAAGATGAAACCTCACCCAACTTTAGAATTGGCACAGGACGACTAAGATAAAATCAGACAGCTCTAGGAGTAGCGTGTATAGAGTACTAAGATTTTTTGAAACAAAGGGATGCAAATTAAGCTGTTTAATAAAAAAGCCATGAAATGCATTTCCTATGGGAGTAGAAATTGGATCCTAGTTTAACTACTGAATTCCTTTTTTTGCGGCTTTCTGCTTCGAGTTGATCCACAGCTCTCCATTTTCAGACACTTGATTTACCAGCTTGGCATCAAAAACGAACCGACAAGAAAATACACATCCAGTCTTTGGTAGGCCACACTTGCCCTCTCGTATTTTCATGTAAGAATGTAACTACTAAAATATTGCCAGGTTCAGTAGATAAGGGGTAATTAGCAATCATACAGTGAGGTCTATTGTTCTCTACTCAATGGTTCGGCTTTGGAAATCACATTGGGACTACAACCCAATTCAATACGTGATACTGAGATAACAAGTTTGAATTCCACAAATAATTAATTAACATACACTCAATAATATACACATTGAAAATAGAGGCACAATATCATTCGAATGTAGCACAAATTCATGGGATACATAGGAAAAATCACAGAGATAGAAAGAGAAATAAAGGAAACGGGTAGGCTGATAAGAAAACAGGGATGATAACACGAGAACTGGAATTTAGACAAAAAGTATATCAAGTAATCACAATATGCCCTTTGGGAAGGGGGGGGGGGTAAAAGCTTACCGGTTAGATAAATATACTTGCTCCGGGTTATATAAGCGCAAAGCTAGCTCATCTGTTAGAAGCCAACAATATGACAGTAATTCTCGAGAGATGTGAGAAGGACATAGATCATCCAGAGGGCAAGGAAAAAGATCGATGAAGCCCACTTGATTCCAGTCTTGACTCCACCGAGTTCCCCTCCACCCATAGCGGGTTTTCGTCGAAGGACGAGTAGCACGATAGCAAAGACAGCAAAAATGCAGAAGATTGTGACTGAGAATCCAAGGGAGCCAGCAGGGACGACGAAGGCAGTTCCACGGACCCAATGAACAATTGTGGCAATTGTCCAAGCGACACCGATGCCCAGGAATACGTTAACTGCATTACTACCAGTCACATTGACTATGGAGGAATCTGCGTATTGATCATTGACGGCAGCCACCTTACTAGCGAAGGTATCTACTCAGGAAAAAGACAAACAAAGCAACCATTCAGAAGGTTCATTTTGGCACATGTAACAAATTGCCTCGGAAGCAAACAGAAGAGTTATCCAAAACAGATGTTGAACAGACACTGAACTTGAAGAAATTCAGGGACCACTCAGGAAAGTGAGGTGATATAAAATTCTTAATTTTCTACAGCTACTAATTCTTTCCCACTCCTTCATCGTCTATCGAAATAACCTTATTGTTTGTAGCGATCATAAAAATCAAATGATTAAGAAAAAAATTTCTTGTTTGCTAATGCCATGAAGTGTGAAAAAGACGCTAGACAAATTTGTCATGTTTCAAAGGAACTTTATCACTTGCACAAATACATCATTTCGCTGAAGAAATAAGGGAACAAAATGTTGAATCAAAATTATATAATCTTTGAACAGAAATTTTCAATAAACAGGAGGGTATTTATTTTGGCGGTCATAAATACCGGCCAATAAAATCAAAATTTTATTTCCGATTTAAAGAGGATTAATAGAAATGATTAATGAAATGTTTGTCAACAGGAATTTACGTTTAAACAACGGAAGCACAAAGTATGGCTACTTGTATGCAAATGTTGAGGATATGAAATTTTCAAAAAAAGTGCAACGCAGTAAAGTGGCCACCAATGCTCTTTTCTCGAACAAAGGTAAGGGAGATGACTCAATAAACACATTCTTGACATTAAGTGAATATGCAATAGAAATATATCTACGATGACTAGGTTCATAAATGGGACTGTGATCAAATCTCTCGTTTGTCAAGTGGCATAATTGGTGATGTGGATGGCCAAGCGCAATAGCTGATTTGAGTAAGGAAATGGGATAGCAGTAGAAAGAGCATTTCTCATTAGAACGGCTCCAGGACATCTTAAGCTCTAACTGAGTAGTATTGGGAACGCTTTGTGCAATGGACATGAGAAGTCTGATAACTTCTAATTATGCTGCAGGCAATGAAATTATTTCGTAACGTACTGTGTAAAAATGATCGGTAAACGTTTGCTTCTAAAATTTTGCAGGTTGAAAATTTAGAATTCAAAATATAGTCAGTAAACGCAGCGGTTAGGCATAAAAAACGTCGGATTTAAGACCAAGGGGATGCAATATTTTTTCGATGGTAGGAAAAGCGCCTGGTTCCGTAGCGCGATAGGGCGTTTGGAGGAAATTTAAACAACCAACGGCAGACGGCCAGAATTAACACCAATCAAAGCATATCCAGAGGAAACTTTTAGATCACAGTCTCCTTATCCAGGCCCTACTACTATCCGTTATGAATTTTAACCCTCCAAAAAATAACTTGTAGTTAATATTTTGCCTGTTAGCTGATCTGAAATCTCTGTTTTTTTTTAAAAAAGGCAACAGTACACTAGACAAAATTAAGCATTGTGACAGGAGTATCCATTAGAATACGAGAAGTTATTTTATTGGGAGAGCTTTTAGTGCCGCATGAAGCAGGGGGTGCTACTCGAACAGAGATAAGTTGATGTCATTCAACTATCCGAAAATGTTAAAAATACACACACTCTCACAGTCGCCCAACTTATTGCGTATAATACAGTGAGAAACAGACACAACCAATAAAATGAATAATGCAACGAATGTTAAATAAATGACAATATTACCTATTGTAACATGGTGTGGCCATTTTATTTATTCGATAGCTCTTTTATAATTATAATTCCTCATAGCACTCAACACCATTAGCTCAACGTTTTAATTTATAAGGGCCTAATTTACGTAATCAGCTGTTCGAGAGTGGGAATATGTGCTTCTTCGAGGTTAAAATTTCTCACACTTTGCGAAGAAACTAAAAATATCTTCAAGTAGCATGCCCAAGTAGCAGGGAATATTGAATGTGACAGAGTAAAGACCAAATGTATAGCAAAATATCGAGCGATTCTAAAGTTACTTGAGTGAAGAAGCAGGTGTGCAAAGGCATGAGGAGGTAAAAATGGCAAACGTGATATTATCACTTCATGCCTAGGTTGGTTCTGTATGAAAGTGCATGAGAGAATAGGGTTGGATATGTGGGTAAACATAGACCATGACGTTTTGTTCATTAAGAGTAGTAAAAAGAGACCGATTTAGAATTGAATATGCCTATTGAATAGCTAACGACTTACCGGGAAGACTGGTACCCAAAGCGACAAAGGTTGTTGATGTGACGGCATCTGTAAGCCCGATCGTACAGCCGAAGGCGGAGGCTACATCACCGATAACGGCAGTCATGAAACCGATCATCACAATACTCACGAAGAAACAAACCCAACCACCGCCATAGTCTGAAGTGAGAATTACACAAAGAAATTCAAATTAAGCACTCTAATTGATAGATAAGATGACTCAGTGAAGATAAGATAAACCTCCAAATAATAGTGTGAACACCCAAAGAGAAAACTTATGTATGAGTATGGAAGAGAACTGAAAAATGGTAAAAGGATAAAAGAGAATAGTAGCTGACAAAGCTGGAGAACGAGCGCCTACAATGAGGGCTTAAAACTAGAAAACGAGCCAATTCTAAATAGTCTTTTATCGTTTTAGAGTTCAAGGCCAATTATGCGAAATGCAAATCGACACACGAAGCACTTTGTTAGAGGCATCCACACGAAACGTATTGGCCGCACCAACATACGAATAATCACATGAATTAAATTATTTTTTGTGAAAAGCTACTTAATCGTCAAGTATACAAAGGCCTAGAGATCAGTACCATATTCTGATGGAAAATGGGAGTGAGAGCACATGAAAAAACACCGGTTCGCATGAAGAAACGCCATATGTTAGGACAAGGGGTGTGCGATAGACTTACCTCCACGTGGTGCACCCCGGGCAACGTATACTCATACGGCAAAAAAGTCTATTAACTGGCAGTTAACTTCTCACTTCAAACTACCAGAACACCCCACTCTATGTCATATTCGACTACTTCCACAGTACTAGCCTCACATTTTTTTCTACCTTTGTGCCTGTCTCTTTTACATCTTTGAATCACTCTTCTGTTCCCCCCTCCCCACCATCTCGACTATTTTTCTCTTTGATGTTCCTTCCCCTCTGTGAAGCCTGAAGTCAACTAAAGGGCTAATGATAACTATCATAATGCCTGCCCTTTGATATAAATAAACAAATGTTAGGACAATAAAGAATGCTAAATCTATGAGCGCATAAAAGATTAAAAAAGTACACTGAGAAGTGTAGTTGAATGCATCTAGAATCCGAGCCTTCCCATTGCCAAATCTACTTCCCTATTGGTATGTTCACTCGCTAGTGCTTCCGTGTTAGCTCGGATAATTGCTAGTCTAACTAACTTCCAAATTTTGTGCAGGAAATTACTGTGAAAGGGAGACAAAAAGAGAGTAGTTCACCAATGCCTCAGAGATAGATCTTATAAGAAGGAGTTTGAGAAAACTAGTTTCTGAGGG